TTTTACTGCAGGAAGATGTGTGATCTTAAAGGTAACTAGCACCTTAGTGTGACAGGACTCATGACAATGATTTGGCATCGCAAATATATAGTTCGTTTGAAAACAAAAATATATAGTAGAAGGAGAGGGGGAAATAGCAGTGTTCCCAGAGAAGTACACCTGCAGAAATTACTGGTCTTCCAACTAGAAGGGAAAGAAGGAATAAAGGAAAGAAAAGGTTACAACCTCAAATTCGTAATGAAACTATCAGACTGCTTTGAATGAGTTCAAGACTCCTATACCAGGTGAATCTAGGGGGCTTCTGGGCCTGTTATATGTAACAGTTGGCATCACCTATAGGACAGAGAATGGAAGAAATACTAGGAGATTAAAGACGGTCAAATATCAAGTTTCCCAGAAAACAAATATGGAAGATTCAGGAAAACACATATTGGTAAGCTTGTCATTAATTCTTGGCAAAATCCAAGACAAGAGATGGTCAGAGAGCTGTTAGACAATGATCACTAACAACCAATATGGAGTTACCAAGAACAAGTCAGAGCCAACCAAGTTCATTTTTCTTTTGAAGAGAGGATTCCAGATTGGTAGGTCAGGGTCCTGTGGATAGAGCAGTATTCCTTCATTCTTGCAAAGCATTTGATAAGGTCTCCTATAATCCCCCTGTGGAAAAGGCCAGATGCAGAGCCATTAGGTGGATTCAAAACTAGTTGACCTATACTCAAAATAGTCCTGATTCCTAACTAAAAAACTAAGGTGACCTTTGTTTCAATCCTCATTAATGATATTTCACAACGCCTTGGTTAAAGTCAGAGAAAGGGAACTTATGAAACCTGTGAATGATTCAGAACTGCAAGGTGTCATCAGATATCAAGTAGAAGGGGTGAAAGGTCAAGGAACTGGGAATCTAAAAGAGGAGTGCATGGGAAACTTGAGGAGCAGAGACAGCTACAGGTCAAAGGTTAGGAAATCACTAAGAACACACATAAGAGAGTGCAGGGAGGCAGGGTTGTGAAGAGCTGAAGGGAACAGGGTAGAGTGAGGGGTCAAAGCCACAGGGACAACCATCACCACCCTAAAGACTCAAGACGAATGAGAAATCAGGGGCAGAACAGAGGAGAGATGAAGAGAGAGAAATAATCTGCAGGTGGCAACCATTGCTGTCTCTCATCCTAGAGAGAGCAATCCTGCAAGCATTAGGCCCAGAGCTGGATCATGATAAAGAAAACAAATTTGCTGGGAACTGGAGGAAGTGGGAGAGACTTGGAAAGAGGAGGTTGTGACCAGAAGGGAGAATGACTACAGCTGATGACTGTACAGATAAGCCTTTCGGCCCCACAGTTCCCTGACTAGAATCTAGCATGCCAGAACACTGGGGCAAGAGTCATGATTTGACAGGGATTAATAGGAAGTGTGGCATTGAAGATCCAAAAAATCAATTGCATAAGCCTGCGACTGGAGGAGCCTGGCTTGAAAGCTATTCATCTGAAAACCAACTCAGCATTTAGTTAGCCACAGCTTTCACCCAAGCCAACAGTGAGACTGGGCCTGCATCAGCCTTGGATTTCACTAGCATTCTTGGTACACGTCAGAGTGTACCCTTCGTTCCCCATGGCACTCAGCACTGGTTGGCCATTGGTGTGACTGTGTTCCCTTCTGTGTCCACTATTGGGAGGGTCAACATGAAACTGGAATCTGCCCAGAAAGCTATGAGGAAAGTGAGAATTCAGACAAACACATCTTGAGGAATGGTTGATAGAACAGTTGTTTAGCCTGGAGAAGGCCACACTCCCACATCTTTGCAGAGCTATTTCATACAAGGTAGACTTGTTCTGAACTAGGACTAGTCAGTGGGAGTCAGAGGGAAAAAGGGCTATTCTTACATCTGGAAACACCCAACTATGAAACTGGCTGCTTTGAGAAAGAATGTGCTGTCATGAAAATGCCCAACCCACAGGCCCTGCTGTGGCTCCTACACTTTTATACCTGACCATCAGCTCTGCTACCTGTGTGCCGTGGCATCTGAACATACTGTAAACCACCTACTTAAGTCAACTTGAGCTACCTAATATTTTTGTAGCTGGTGGTGGTGGTGGTGTTTTTGGCGGCTGGCCGGTACCTAATATTTTAAAGAGGCAATCAGAAGGATATGAGCTACCCATTATTCTAGAACATCTAAGCTCTCCCTGGGTTCTAAATTAATTCAAGGAGCAGCAGACTTGAGGTGATAAAAT